ATATATATATATATATATATATATATAAATAAAAATACTCCCAATTAAACCCTATCTTACTCTCGTCAGTCCTCTACCCGCCTCTATCCTCACTGCTCCTTAGTCCTCACTCCTCATAGCCTCAGGTCAGTCATCTCTCTCTCGCTCTCTCTATCTCTCTCTCAGACACACACACACAGTGACACAACAACTCAATCAAAGGCTTAATAGCTCTCTCTCTTTCACAATACCCAACCCAAAACATTGAGTGATTTATGAATTCTTGGTCGTCGGAGTCAATCCAAAGACCATCGTGTACTATTTACTACTTCTTTCTTCTACTACTCTCTCCTTTTTCGCTTAATACCCAGAAAAGAAAAAAAAAACCCACCACTAATTTTCAAAGTAATGTTTTTTTGCAACAAACAAAATCACTTTTGTTTCAAACCCAGCTTCTTGTTCAACCCATTTCTGTTCATTTCCTAATCTCTCACAAACTGAGTTCTTTCGGAGGTAATTCTTGTGTGCTCTCTCTCTCTCTCTCTCTCTTTCCCATGTTGTACAAATCAATGTGGGTACATGACTTATGATACTTTATTCTTATCTAACTGATCATATCACAGGTTTGTTTTTTGTTTTCTTTGTTTTTTATTCTACTTTTTTTTGAATGCTTTTGGGCTGTGTTTATTCCCTGATTTGGGATTTTCAAGGTTGGAATTATAATTGCTTTTATATGCTGAAACTCAAACATGAACAAAGCAAAAAAGAAATCAACAACTCAAAGCAAAAATAATTTCAAATCTCAAAACAAATTCGAGAACAAATCTAAAATTGCACTCTGCCCAGATTTATCTATCAAAACTCAACTCCTAGAAATGGCCATTTTCTTCTTGAGAGACGCTTGAGTCTCCGCCGGAACAATGAAACCCTCTTCCGCCATTATTAAGAAACTAAACTCACCTCCCTAATGATGAAACAACAGTCTCCCTCTGCATTTATAGAAAGAAAAAAAACAGAGAATATATCCCCAAAAAGTTTGTGATTCATGGTGTTATGGGAATAGCCACTGTTTTAGATCTACGGTATAAGTTGAGAATTTTGAAGTATTACTATGAGAAAATGTATGGAGGTGTGGAAGCTTTAAATGAAGTGAAGAGGATTAAGGAGCTTTGCTTGGAATTGGTAGGCGAATATGAAGCGAGGCAAGGAAGTGATTATGAACTGCAACCTTCTCCTACCATTCTTCAATCAGATATTGATTCCAAACGTCCATTAATTGATGATCTCTCTGATTTTGATAAGTTTATATAAACAAGAAACATAACAAAAACACGTGTGAGATATGAGTTAGATTGTTACTTAGAAGATGGTATGATGCCAAGAACTTCAGATTTTGATATACTATATTTTTGGAAGACAAGTGGTCCCAAGTATCCCTTACTTCACATGATTGCTAAAGATCTTTTTGATATTCCTATTTCTACCGTTATCTCAGAATCTGCTTTTAACACAAGTGAAAGGGTGATCAGTCCACATTGCAATAGACTTCTTCCAACTACAATAGAGGTTTTAATATACTCTCAAAGTTGGTTATGTGTTGAAGAACGAGATAATTAAATATTATTTGTATGTGCATCATATTTTTTTTTTGTGGGGAGGTAACGTATGACTAATGCATTATTTTTTTTGTTAGATTCATCTACTTCGACGGGCCTGAAGAGCTACACATTATTGGAGGATCTTGATATTGATGATGAGATATATCGTTTTAGTTGAAAATTTCTCTTTGAAAAAATCTAATTTTTTTTTCTTTTAATAGGAAAATGATGTTGAAGAAGTAGATTCTACCACCACCGATGGTGTTAAGAGATGATTAAGTTGGTAATTTTTTAATTTCAACCAATCATTTTTATTAGTAAATACAAAATATTTTTTATGCAATTATTATAGTTTTTTGTGTTTTATTTTCTTTATTAAATTACAAGTGTGAAGCTATATGGCAGAAAAGTTTTTCCATTACGTTATTTGTGTTATGTTGAATTATATCAAATTCAAGTAGTATTTTGGACATTTGTTGTTTATGTTATGTTAGAATGTTATGCAACATTATGTTGTGTTAGATTATTTAGAATGTTGTTAGATTATTTAAAATGTTAAATTTATTTAGAATTTTCGATTATGTTGGCTTGAACTTGGGCTTGGACTTAGACTTAGGCTTAGGCTTGGACTTGGGCTTGGGCTTTGGTTTTGGCTTGGGCAGGTACGGGGGAAGCGAGTATGGGGGCGGGGATTATAAATTTATCCGCAGATGGGGATGGAGATGAAAATTATACCCGTTAACAAAGGTGGACCGGGGATGAATGAAATTTTTTTAAGCGGGTACGGGAATGAAAACTATACCCCCCGCCCCCGCTTCGGTCCATTGACATCCCTAGGCATGTATGTGTCCATCCATGTGATCAACAAGTCCCAATCCCGTAACAGTATCCATACATCATAGGACCACCAACAATTTTTCATAATTTTATGTGGATTTTGATTTTATTATTTTATTATTAGATTGGCATTAGATCTATCATATTATTAATTAAGACATATTATTAATTAAATTTAATAAATATGAATATGACTCATCATGTAATCAAATAAGATAACTAAATTAGATACAAATAATATTTTTTTCGTCTTTGTATAAATGAACAATATTTCATTCATGATTTTTAAATAAGCAAACAGAGGCACATACGTACATTGTAATGCAAGCATATCTATACCTATATTAATAGACAACCACGACCTGCCTGAAATTAATTTATACCACTTGTTCAACCTCCTTGAGCCACTTCCACCTGAACAATTAATACAAAAATTGTTTCCGCCATTACGTCAAGCAAGCATGGAACCCAAATGGTTGTACGTATCTCTCTTTTCAACTTTGATAGCTCTGGTGTACAAGTTGTTGTTTCACACAAGAACAAGATCAAGATCAGCAGCAGGATCATCAAAACTCCCACCTAGTCCACCTGCAGCTCGTCCATTCTTTGGCCACCTCCATCTCCTGGAAAATCCCTTACATAGAATCCTTCACAAGATCTCGCTCAAACATGGTCCAATCTTCTCCCTCCGCCTCGGTTCCCGCCTTGCTGTTGTAGCATCATCCCCAGCCGCGGTCGAGGAATGCTTCACCAAGAACGATGCCATTTTTGCTAAACGTCCTCATTCCACCCTGCACAAGCCCTTGGGCTACAATTATACTGCCATTGTTTCAGCCTCCTACTCTGATCACTGGCACAATCTTCGTCGCTTGTGTTCAGTTGAAATTTTCTCCCCTGCTTGCCTCAACAGGTGTCTTCCCATTCGAGAAGAAGTCAAGCGTTTACTGTCTAGTCTCTATAAGATGTCGTCATCCTGTTGCGGCGGCTTTACTTTTACCAAAGTTCAATTAAGATCCAAAGTCCATGAGCTGACTTTTAATAACATAACCAGAATGGTGGCAGCAAAAAGGTACTATGGCAAAGTAGGCATCCCTAAACCCTTTTTTTTTTTTTTTCTGTTGAAATAGTGAAAAATTTTATTTAATAAAAGCAGAAATTACAAGAAGCAAAAAAGTCACTATTTTAAGCTAAAAACAGTGACTTTTGAACATATAACAGCAAAAATAATACAAGGGTAAAATGGTAATTCAATCATAATCCCTCTGTAATGTCTTCTTTCCATCCAGCTGAAACATTCCTGAGAAGATACCTTAATCAGCCAACTGAACCACAGAAGTGTCAAAACAGCAACAATATGCAGCCCAGGGAGAAAACCAAGACAGTCCTACATTAGCATTTACAGCATTTGTATTTATTTTCCAGCTGAGAGCAAAGCAGTCAGAATCCAAACAGTCGGATGCTTCTGCCAGAGTAAAATTCCAGATACAGCTCCCAAACATGCATTTACTCATTAATAACCAGAACCTCTGAATACCAGATGCAGAGAATAAAGAAATCCAAACGCCAATACATCCCCTATAAAACTGAACAGGAGAAGAATCCTCCTTACCATTTGTTGGAGTATAGATAGTCTAGTTTATTAGGATTTCTTTTCCCTTTTTTACCCTTACTATGATTTTTATATTTTGCCTAAACTACAAGGATGTTTAAGTCACTCTGTATTATTTTTGGATATATATACGGGGCTCTACTCTTAATTTGAGTATCCCTTTTCACTTACGTTTATTCCAAGTTGGTATCAGAGCCATACACTAACCCTACCTCAAACCCTAACCTTCTCCCTAACCTAGCCTCCACCGAGATTGCCTCACCGGCAAACTGCCTTCAAGCAAACCCAGCAACCCACTGCCTGCCCACCAACCCCATGCGTGACTGTCCATCCACCGACTGAAACCAAATCCACCGACTGAAATCAAAACCAGAAACATCCACCGACTCCATACCAGCGAACCAAAACCAGCGAAATAGAAAAACGCTGAACCAAAACCAGCGAAACCACACCGACAACCTGCTGCCCAGCGAAAACACAAGCCCCATACAGCTAAGCCTCCCAGCCTTCCAGCCCCTAGCCGCAACACTCCAACAAAATCACACCGACATCCACAAACCCACTTGTCTCACCCACTGCACCGACTGCCTCCATAAAGCACCGACTGCCTACACAGCAAAACCAGCAACCACAAACCAACTGACCAGCCTGTCTACACCGACTGCCTCCATCAAACCAACCCACAATCAAACCCAAAAACCAATACAGCTAAGCACCCGTGACAGCCAACAAACCCACAAACCAATATTATTAGCCGTCACAAACCAACAAACCAAGTAAGATTGGGTCACTGTTCATCAGCCCACTGCTGGGTTGCTTTTTTGTTGTAGCTTGGTCCTTCGCACACTTCGTCATAGTGCTGCCAGATTGCAGTATCTAGGTCTTTTTTAGGAGGGAGCGGATCCTCTTCTCCTTTTATCTGTTTTTGATGCAGTAGATCATTTATATTTATTGGATTTCTGGGCACCGTGACTTGATTATTTGGGAGCTTTTTGGACCTTCCTTATTTGTCGCTACTGTTCGACTGAAGGTATATTGTTCTCCCTTATTTTATTCCTCTATTTATCTTAGAGTTATTTTTCTGTCACGGGTGCCCTAGTATTGTTGTTGATATGGCTACTACTGAGGGACTTGAGAACCCTACTGTTGACACCTCTACCGTTGAGACATCTATGGGTACTTCCACTTTTATGTTTGACCAGTATACAGTGCCTACTAGCACAGTTGCATTACCAGCATTACCGGGCATGATCTCTCAAAAAGTTACGGCACAATTGTTGAATGGTCGTAACTTCGCTGAGTGGTCACGCTCATTCCAGCTTTTCTTAGGCCGTGTAGGGAAGCTTGGTTGGCTGACGGGATCTCACCCAAAGCCAGCTGATGCCGACCCTGGATATTCTGCGTGGTTCTCTGAAAACTGTGCCATTCTTGGATGGTTATTTGGCTCAATGGAGCCCTCTGTTTGCAGGATCCACCAGTTTCATAGCTCTGTTCCGAAGCTATGGAGCGCATTATCAGAGATGTATTCTCAGTCAGGACGGGGAGTTCGTGTTTATGAGCTTTCTCAGGAGCTCTCATATGCTCGGCAGGGAGATATGACCGTTCAGGATTATTATGGCTATTTGACCCAGCGCTGGCTTGAGTATGAGTCTCTACGTCCTCTTGCTGCTATTCCGAAGATAGAGCCCGAGGGAGCAGCATTCTTGCATACTCGAGAGCAGGAGGATAGGATTCACAAGTTCCTTATGGGGCTTCGTGATGAGTTTGAGGGACCTCGTTCTCAGATCTTGTCGATGTTGACACTTCCTTCTCTTTATGAGGTGTATGGGATGATTGAGCAGCATGAGCGTCGAGTCCGTATTGCATCACTTCCAGTTGCAGCTTTGACTCCTTCAATTGACCAGATGGCCCTTGCAGCTGCTGTAGGGTCCCGTTCAGGATCCTTAGTCAGGGATGGGCAACGCTCAGACCAGCGCCGTCAGGGCGCCCCAGATCAGCGCAGACGGGGGGATTCCCGTCGATGTGATTATTGTGGCCTACCAGGACATCTCAGGGCTACTTGCTGGAAGCTTCATCCAGAGCTTAAGCCACCTTCTCGCAGCCGTACTGTTGCTATTGCTGAGGTACCACCGCCCACTACCGCCACTCCTGCTACTGCTCCTCCTTGGCAAAGTGATATGGATGCTATCACTTCCCGATTAGATATACTTATGTCTGCTCTGACTTCTCAGAGTCTGACTACTGCTGCTGTCACCACTACAGGTATATCTCGTGCCTTTCACGCTTGTGCCAGTTCATCTCCCCTTTGGATGTTGGACTCGGGTGCGAATGGTCACATGACAGGTGAGGCCCATCACTTCACCACTTTTGACGAGCCGTTACATACACAGGTTCAGTTAGCAGATGGAACACATGCCCCTATTGTTAGTAGGGGTACAGTCCGTCTCCCAGATGGCCTTACATTACATTCGGTTTTTCATGCGCCAAAGTTGGCCATGAATCTATTATCTGTACATCAGTTAGCCAGAGATTTTCACTGTGCGGTTGTATTCTTATCTGATTCGTGTTATTTGCAGGACCTGAGTACCAGGAGGATTATTATCAAGGGACATGAGAAAGATGGACTGTATTATCTTGGCAATCCATCTCCAGTTTCACCAATTCCTTCACCTGCACCTGCTTTGTCTTTTTCTGTTCCTAGCTTGCATGCTAGTATTTTACCTAGTAGTTGTCGTTATGATTTTTCGTCACAAACTGTTCAATTGTGGCATGACCGTTTTGGACATACAAATTTTAAATATTTATGTATGTTGTTTCCTGCTTTGAGTAATGCTTGTGTTGGTGGTAAACTTGATTGCGTTATCTGTTCCCTATCAAAACATGTTAGGGCCAATTATATTCCTCGCATGCACCAGTCACCCAAGCCATTTGACCTAATACACTCTGATATTTGGGGACCCTCTCCCGTTACTGCTCTGTCAGGTGCCAGATATTATGTGACATTTATAGATGATCATACCCGTTGTACTTGGGTCTACCTTTTGCATAGGAAGTCTGATGTGCTCCCTATAATCACTCAGTTTTTACAGATGATTAAGACACAATTCGATGTCATTGTTCGTGCTCTTCGTTCGGATAATGCCAAAGAATATGTGTCTGATGCTTTAGTGTCTCACCTTTCTTCTCAGGGTATCCTTCAGCAACTCACTTGTCCATATACTCCTGAGCAAAATGGTGTTGCTGAGAGGAAAAATAGGAGTTTGATAGGGATGGTACGTTGTCTGCTTAGAGGCATGAGGGTACCAAAATCTTATTGGCATTTTGCTGTTTTGACTTCTACCTTTCTGTGCAATCGTACGCCGAGTCGTGTTCTTCAGCATAAGGCTCCCTTACAGGTCTTATTTCCTGAGCGGACACTTTTTCCGGTCCCCCCTCGTGTTTTTGGATGCACATGTTTTGTTCAGGATCGGTCTCCTACTCGTCATAAACTTGATGATAAAGCGATTCGTTGTATCTTTGTGGGCTATTGTCATCAATCTAAGGGGTATCGATGTTATGATCCTATTAGGCGTCGTATGTATCACAGTCTAGATGTTACCTTTCTTGAGCATATTCCTTATTTTCCTTTCAGTCCTTTGTCTGCCCCTCCAGTTGATGATACTCCCTTTGATTTTCCATTACCACAAGAGTCAGAGTCATTGATCACTATCCCTACAGGGTCATCCGTTTTTCCTCCCAAGGAGTCACTCATCCCTGTCAGTACAGAGTTACCAGTCTCTCTTCCTTTGCAGGTGTATGCTCGTTGTCCTCGCTCTCATCACCCTGCTGATATCCCCTCTACCTCAGGCGATGCAGGTAATACTTCTCAGTTTGTTGAGCATATTGATGCACCTGTTGTTAGTACTGATGAGATTACAGGTGCTGAGCCAGTTACTTTACCTGATAAGATATTATCAGTAGAGGATGGTGATTTAGGGCGTCGTTATCCAAGGCGTGATCGCCGTCCAGTTGATCGATATGGTTGGACCGCCAAGATTTTATATCCGATCTCTGCTTATGTTTCTTATGGTAATCTGTCTCCCACATTTCGAGCTTATACTATGGCCTTATCAGATACGCTGGTTCCTCGCTCTATTTCGGAAGCTATGCGGGAGCCCCAGTGGGTTCTTGCCATGCAGACAGAGATGGACGCTCTTCAGCGTAATCATACATGGGATCTTGTCTCCTTACCTTCAGGGGTGAAGCCTGTTGGCTGTCGCTGGGTTTACACCCTGAAGTTTCTTGCAGATGGTACTATTGATCGTTACAAGGCTAGACTTGTGGCGAAGGGCTTTACTCAGGTACCAGGTCGTGACTTTGGTGCTACATTTGCCCCCGTGGCAAAATTGACTACTGTTCGGTTGATTATTTCTCTGGCTGCGGAGTACTCTTGGCCTCTTCATCAATTAGATGTGAAGAATGCGTTTCTTCACGGTGATCTGGACGAGATTATTTATATGGATGCACCACCGGGCTTTC